AAACCGTACACAGGTCACAATGAGTTGGAATTGACTCGACACCACTTACCAACAACAGCGATTACCTTCACAAGATAAATGAAGACAAGGTAGAATAGTGATAATACAATGAAGTATACCAGGAGGCTTCAAAAAGTTTGTGGAAAAACTCCATTCTCTTTTTAATTCAATTTTCCCACGATTTTTAAGCCCCATTATATAACATTATTGAACTATTTTATGTAGAAATTATGGATGGATGGGTATTTGCTTGTGTATGTTGCCATCAAAAAGAAATAATTTTTTTTTTTGAAATCAAAGTTCCATAGCCGTAACCATAGAAAATGTTGTTGCGGTTGTTAAGTGCTATCCTGTCCTGGGGTTTCCAAGGCTATAACTCTTTTACAGGAGCAGAATATGCTTCATCTTTCTCCCGAAGAGTGGCTGGTGGGTTCAAACCACTGAGCTTGTAGATTGCAGTCCAGTGTTTATCTTACAGGGCCACCATGTGCCCATATGAAATTGGAAAAAAACACAGAAATTTCAATTTACTGTTTATTTCCTAACATCCAGATGAATATCACATGACCATGGGCAATAGCCCAATAGAATGTGATACAAAGAGATTCTGCCTGGAATGTTATCCCAGGAATTTAAAGTATAAAAATTATAGAAAAATACACAAAAGAAAAAAATAGCACAATTTTGTACTTAAAGTAATGTACATTTTAAATTAATGGTGCATCTAAAGGTCTCCAGAGTTCTGCACCTAATGTTACTAATTTACCCACACATTCATTGAAATCTCCACAGACCCCTCCACTGATGAAGGTTTCCCATTGCTAGGTCCAGGCTGATGGACTTCCCATCTTTGTGTTGACTTGCTAACTTTGTTCCACTCTCACTGGTAAGAGCAGAAATTAACATTACACTCTCATTTACATATTGTTGTTGTCGTCAAGGACCATCGAGTAGGGTCCGACTCATAGCGACCCTGTGTAGGGTTTTCGAGGAGTGACTGATGAGTTTAAACCTCCAACTTTGCATTTCAAACCGACCCTGCAGTTGAGTGCTTATCCTACAGTGCCTCACGAGGACTCCTAGTTACTCATTAGCAACATCTAACGACTAAAGAGCAAGGAATAATTTTTGGTTTCTCTTGATATAGTATTACTACTTTATCGACATTAATGAGTACCGGTAATATAATGGATTACAAGCTGAGATGCTAACTGTAAAATCAGAGGTTCGAATCCACCAGTTGCTTCTTGGAAGAAAAATGAGGATTTCTGCTCCTGTAAAGATGTGCAACTTCAGAAACCCTATACAGGGTCTATATGAGTTGGCACCAACATGGTGGCACGCAACCCCACCACCACTTTTATGAAGTTAATACTTTTAGTCATAGGATCTCTGTTTGTACTGAAGCTAACACATGCATAGTCTAACCCCATGGGGAATTACCTCAGCCCTAAAAGGCCAGTTTCTAATAATGGTTCACAATGTGATCTATCATTTTCTTTTCTGGAAATGGAAGTTCAAGGTGGCTTTTCTAATCAAATTGATGACTACCTGTAAGATTTACAGAAGAAAACCAAGGCTTCACATCTGGTCAGCTCAGACAATTCTCTCTCATAGAATCTTACAGTTTTGTTTTTGTTTTTTCATTTCTGACCTTTCACAGTTCAAATTAGGGAAAACAAAACAAAACACCTTATTAAAGCTCTTGCTTAGTATTGTTGCTGTTGTAAAGTGCCATCCAGTCAGTTCTGACTCATAGTTTCCCAGGATAGACTTTCCTCAGAGTGACTGGTGGGCTTGAACTGCCAACACTGCAGTTAGTAGTCCAGTGCTAATTCTACAGTGCTGCACCAGGACCCCTTCTTATTACTAGGGGTGCCATTTAATTAAATGTTTATGTGAGCATGACCAAACTACAGAACTTAAAACCAGAGTAGCCTACGAAAAGTTAAACATATAATTGCCACTGTTGCTAGTGCCGTAGAGTTGGTCCTGACTCGTAGTGATCCTGTATAGGGATTCTGAGGAACGGCTGGTGAGTTTGAATCACCGACCTTGCAGTTCTAACCAACCTTGCAGTGAATTGTTTATCCTACAGTGCCACACCAGGACCCCTATGATTACCATGTTGTTGTTGTTGTTGTTAAGTGCTGTCGAGTCGGTTTCAACCCACAGTGACCCTGTATAGGGCTTCCGAGGAGTGGCTCGTGAGCTGGTGAGCTTGAACCTCCAACCTTATAAACCTCCATATACATATGTAATCTAGGTGTGGCACATTGGATAAGCAATGGACCATGAGATCTGTTTGAATCGCAAGGTCAGCAGTTCAAATTCACTGGTCTCTCCTCAAAAACTTCATACAGGTTGACTATGAGTCGGAACCAACTCAACGACAGTTAACACCAAACAGCATATATTTATGTTTAGTTACGGAGTATCCCAGCACAAAGCTGCTGGGCCCGAGGCAGTGATTATGTTCAGGTCGGGGACCTTCTTGAGAAATCACTAAATCCCTAGTGGTTAGGGTTGAGCCCCAATCTCCAGCACAACCTGTATATATATATATATATATATACCCATACTTCTCACCACCAAGTTGTAGCCCAGAGCTCAGAACAGACACTGGCTCCGCTAATACCATAAAACCTTAGTTCCTAAGAACTGTTATCAATGGCTTTTTAAAATGTTCACTTGAATGCCTGGTCTCCACAAAGTCACTGTCTGTACAAGTTTACCCTTACACCATCAACTGAAAACAATGTCTTACTCAAGAAAAGGGCTGTATTAATAAGATAAAGCGTCTAGCTTCTTAAAACAAAAACACAATGTTTTCCAAAGTCCAAAAGCTGCCATGTTAACAGTCTGTTGAGGCAATTGTTACAGCAGGGATTCTAGTAATCAGTAACTAGATGGTCCTCTGTCTGTCAGGAAATGCACTAGAAATGTGATGATGGTTTGAAAAATTCCGTAATTCCTCCTTGTCAGGAAATCAGGTAGGCCTGACCCAATCAGTTCACATACATAAATTTTTATCAGGTACCTATGCACACATTACCTGCTCTATTAATCTGCCACCTGGCCAGCCCAACCAATAATTAGTATTCCTGATAGCTGTAGAGATAGCCTTGGTGCAACTGATTCTGAACCTGAAGTTACCAGGGGCTCAGAACTCGTCAGACTCAGGGGACTGAGTTACGCTTAGCCAAACCCTCAAGAGGCTGATTTAAAAGCCAGAATGCCAATTTATGAATTTACAGTGGGAGCTGGGCCTGGCTCAGGGACTGGGGAAGAGTCTTCTAACGTAGGGACCATGTTCCACAGGGGCAGGTCTACCCAGGGGACCAAATTAAAGGTCAGAAGGTTGCCTGGGTAGCAAAGAATGAAAGCAAGGGAAACCACGTTTCCTCGATAGAAGGTTCTGAGGTGCTGCAGAAGCCTCAGTAAAGCCCCCGGATCGCTCCACGTAGGGATCCATACCTGTTCCAGAGGCCCCGAGCAGGGCTGGCTCAGTACACTGGCATGTTCCTATTTTCACTTCCTCCTTTACCACTGGGCTGGGAGTTTATTTTCAGACAGGTTGTCCTATCTGTACGCTCTTTCTTGGGTTAATCCAGCTCATACATGGTGGGTGTGGATGGAAAAGTTCAGCCCTGGCCTGGTAACTTTTACCACCTCATTCTCCCTGACCTGGGGGAAAGTGTCAACTTCTAAACAGGCTAATTGGCTGGAGCTCTGGCCTACTTCAGCCATGATGGCTACCATGGGCCAAGGGAAACCACAGTTGGGCAAAGAAACCATAAAGGCTAAAAACCCCTCCATGCAGACGGGCCTGCAAAGTGAGCAGCAACACCAGGCAGGAATGTGCTCCTCAGAACAGTCAACCACACAACATCCAAAGGGCAGCATGTGTCCAAAAACAAAGCTCAGAAGCAGGAAGGGATGAGAAAGAAGGACAAACGGGAACAAGGGACCCAGGGAGGAAGCAGGAAGAGTGTCGTTACATTGAGGGAACTGCACCTCATGCTATGACACGAAATGTGCTTAAACTGTTGAATGTAAAACTAATTTCCTCTTTAAATTTTCACCCAAACTACAATAGAAAACTAAGTCAACACCTACAAGAAGGAAACTGCACAAAATGCATAGCAGCTAATAGTCTCTACTTCACATGTACAACATGTGATACCTGAATGGAGCCCAGCCTTTTAAAATACATCTTGAAATATTCATGTGCCCAAATCCTAAATTAGGACTTTAGAATCCCAAGATTCCAAAGAGATGCCCCGACCCGCAGGCTAGTGGGAATGTTAACTCCATTTGGTGGTGATGGTGGTGTGTAGTGGAGTCGGTTCTGACTCATAGCGACCATGTGTAGGGTTTCTTTAAGGGAGCAGGAAACCTCATCTTTTTCCCTTGGAATGTCTGGCAGTTTCAAATTGCTGACCTTGAGGTTAGCAGCCCGACTCATAACCACTAGGACAATAAACTAGAGCTCAGGAGCACTAAGTCGCATGGCCATGGATGGCAGAGCCAGCTCTCTGTGCTCTGCGTGTGACCTGTTGCAGACAGGGGCACAGAGGGAAAAGGCAGGGTTGGGGATGCGTGGGGAGTTGGGGAGAAAACTCAAGTTGAAATAACCTTAAATATAAACCTGGCAAGAAAACAACGCCTCAGACCCTCCCCACCACCAGCACCACCACCCCATCCCTAAAGAGCCAGATTTCCTGAAGGCTCAATTCTGAAACACCACGGGGTTGACCCCTGTCAACAGCCCATCTCCAAGGCACTGCCCAGCCTTGGACTGTCCAAGGAGGGCAGTCCCCTGAGCGCCACTGAGAGTAAAATGTGAGATCTCAAAAGCCGAAAGAAGTGGAGAAGTAGAGATTAAAGAGTTAGAACAAACTTTACTCCAATTGATGACTAATGCATTTGCCCTTCCATGTAAAAGTAAAATTCTGGCCCAAAGGGAATGGAGCTGAAGCAGCTCTTGGGGTACTGACCTGTGGTTGGTGCCAAGCCCTTGGCAGGTTCCTCAGTCAAATCCAGGTATTCTCTAATGAGCTGGCTCAGCTTCTGGTAGGCAATTTCCAGGTCATCTACAGAGAATGCAAGCAAGGCAACTGAATCCAATTAAAGCATGATCAAGTTTCAAGAGCTGGTGGCAGTGATTTTTTTAACTGCACTTAATTTGCTAAATATGGTAATAGGCAGAATTCTAGAAAGACCACCATCTCCCCTGGATGACCTCCACCCCTTGCGTATGGGTGGACATTGTGATGAGTTCTCACACCTGTGATTGTGTTAACATTCTAAGGCTAATATAGGCTCTGGTAGCATAGTGGTTACGAATCGGGCTGCGAACCGCAAGGTCAGCAGTTCGAAACTACCAGCTGTTCCGCAGGAGAAAGATGAGGCTTTCTGCTCCTGTAAAGATATACAGCCTTGGAAACCCTATGCAGGGTCACTATGAGTCAGAACCGACTCCATGGCACATAATCACAACAACATAGGCTATATAATTGTAGATGTAATTATTCTCATCAGTTGATCTTGGGTCTAACCTAATCTTTCCTCTGTTGCTGAGAGGGGCAGGGGCCACAGCTTGAGGAGCTGAGGGCAACCCCTACAGACAGCCAACAAAGACAGAAGGACCACCGTCTCTCAACTGCAAGGAACTGAGTGTTGCCCATAACGTGAATGAGTTTAGAATTTCCCTTAGAGTCTCCAGGCAAGTGGACACCCAGATTCCAGCCTCTCAAAACCCTGAGAAGATTAGGCATCTGACTTACAGAACCGGGAAAACATAAATGTTAAGCTGCTAAGTGTGAACCTTTACTCTGCACCAGTTGGAAACAATACAAACACATAACACTTTCACATGTGTCAGAGATGAAAATGTACAGGTTGAATCCTATGAAGTTGCGCTTTATGTGACAGGTCAACATGGCTGCCCAGTGGCAATTTCATATGGTTCCCCACCCACCCCATCCCCTGCTGAGCAGTGCTTTTAATTTCTGGAGGATTCTGGCAGATTTTCTATGCAGTGTAAGGAACTATGATGACACAATTAGGTTTTTATATCACTTATGCAACAAACTGGAGTCCAGGTGTGGCGCTGTGGGATAAAGCACTGGACCGCAAGGTCGGTTTGAACCATAAGGTCAGCAGTTCAAACTCACCAGCCACTCCTTGAAAACTCCACACAGGGTCACTATGAGTTGGAACCAATCAACAGCATTTACCAACAATTACATTGTATAATGTTATACAGTCATACAAAGGAATGACGATTCACTATGTAATGGTAACGAAGGAGTTTCAAACCCTACTATGACTGAAACAAGTCAGGGTCACAACAGTTGTTGTTAAGTGTTAAGCGTTTTCAAGGAGCGGCTGGTGGATTTAAACTGCCGACCTTGTGGTTTGCAGTCCAGTGTTTATCCTACAGTGCCACACCAGGACTCCATGTAATGTAATGGGGCTTAAAAGCATATAGAAATTTCTACATCTCGATCAATTCGCCCACTGTCAACTGCTATAGATAAAAATGGCCATTCCTAAGCTAGTGCTTAAAAATATTTGTTGTACACATTCTTTTCTGGGTATGATCTATTTAGTAGCTATGTTTTCTCACCTTCATATAGATTGTGATACATCAGCTGGAGAGTAATCTATCTTCTGCGAAATTTAAGTATTTAAATTTTATTTAAATTATGATATTTATTTATAATTAAATCAAGTTCTATATTATCTAATCCTGTTCTCATCATATCCCTTAAGGACCACTGGTTGCACAACAGTTAAGTGCTTGGCTGTTAACCAAGAGTTTGATGGTTTGAACCCATCAAATCTATCCCATTGCCAGCCAGTTGATTCTGACGCACAGTGATTCAAGAGGACAGAGTAGGAACCCCTCTAGGGTTTCCCAAGCTGTCTTCTTCACGAGAGCTGGCTGTAAGAGTCTTGAGTGGCTGGTAGGTTTGAACCACCGACCTTTAGTAGCAGCTGAGTGCTTAACCACTGTGCCACCAAGGCTTCTTCCATAAAGCTGACAGCCTAGAAAACCCCATGGGGTAGTTCTACTCTGTTTCATGGGGGCAACAGCCAACAGCAACAACGTCCCTGAAGGATGAAATGAACCCCACCTGTTTTACAGACGACCCTTTCAACCACCAGAGGCAGATAGGTGGAACAAATCACACCTGTGGAAGGGACCAAATGTCACTGGTTAGGATCTTAAGGAATAATTGATAAAAGACATCAGGCTGTGATTGAGACAGCGGAAGGACAGAAGACAGATCCTGAGCCCCAGATCTCTTGGGTTGTTACGTCTCTTTGAAGCCCCTGTGATTCTCAAAGTTCCAATCTTTCCCCCAACACTCTCCTTCCATTAAACTTTCAGCCCAGTGCCCTCGCCCTTCACAGAGGAAGCTCTGCTGAAAGTTACTGACCTGCGTTGATTACTGCATCAAAGTATCCCGGAAAGTTCTGGTTAATTTTAATATAAAGGTCCACTCTGGAGACAGCTAACTCAACCTCGGCACGACTGAAGAGTCCCTTTCTCCGCAAGTACCCCTCGTATTTTGTCTTGTTCATGGGCACCACCAAGATATAGCGAGGCTCAAAATAGGAACACTTCAAACTTCTGACACCCTGTGTGTTTCAAGGGAAGGTAGTAAAAGGTCATGAATGGAGCTACTGATTTGGAGACAAGTATCTTAGTGAAGCATTTACTTCATCTGTGTAACTGGTTACTCTTTGCCTATAAATATCTCAAGGTTAGATTACATTACTCTGCTTATCACATATTAAATTGCCATAGAAAAGATTCAAATTCATTCCACGTCAAATTAATCGTTCTATAAACATGGCCATTATCAAAGAAAATCGCTGGATGCAGAATAGCTACATTCATAGCAGTTGTTGTTGCTACGTGCAGGTCACTTCCAACTCGTAGAGACGTTGTATAGGGTTTCCGAGAAGCAGCTGGTGGGTTTAAACCACTGACGTTGTGGTTTGCAGTCCAGTGCTTATCCCACAATGCCACACCAGGAGTCTTTCATAGCAGTACAGCCTCTTTATTTCGGAGGAGTTATTTACATTTCAAAGGACATCCCTGCCCCACTGGAAGATAGAGACTTTCCCTGAGCGAAGAGGCTTCCTTTGTCATCTCCTTGGGGACCGGTTCCCATCACCTCTCTGTCTTTATCCACAGCAAGGGAAGTTTATGTTTATGGTGACCACAGTTCTCCAGAACAAACATGCAACAGGAGCCTGAAATTGAGGAAGGCAGACACAAGGTCTTGGCGCTCCTGAACTCAAAAGACAAAGTGAGCTTTGTATCTGCCTTGCCCAAGGAGGGAACTCTGTTGGGAAAAGGCCCTTTTGGTGCTAACTAGCGTGGAAATAAAAAATTGTTGTTGTTAAGTGCTGTTGAGTCAGTTCTGACCCATAGCAACCCTGTATAGGGTTTTTGAGGAGCAGCTGGTGAGCCTGAACCGCTGACTTTACTGTTCAAACCACTTTTGCAGCCCAGCGCATTAACCCACAGCGCCACACCAGGACTCTGCAATAAAGAACGTTGTTGTTGTTGTTTATGTGCCGTGGAGTCAGTTCAGACTCATAGAGACCCTGTACAGGGTTTCCGAGGCTGTAAATCTTTACAGGATCAGAAAGCCTCATCTTTCTCCCACGGGACAGCTGGTAGTTTTGAACTGCTGACCTTGCGGTTTGCAGCCCGATTAATAACCACTACGCTACCAGAGCTCCTTGAAATAAAGAATAGCTCTCTTAAAAAACAACAACAAATAAAAACAAAACCAATATCTGACAAGAAAGCACTGAAGGATTTTGAAGTTAGAAAAGGTAAGGAGCAGAAGGAACCACGCTGGTTTAGATGAACAAGAGAATATTTGTGGGGCAGAGGACTCCAGGGGTAGAATTCTCATCTTCCATGAGAAAGACTGGACTCAATTCCCAGCCAACGCACCTGTTTAGGTTCAAATTCAGAAGGGAAAATCCTTCTGCATATGTAGGTGCCAAGAGATGAAAAAAGTGACGACGAGTCAGACCAGGAGACATTAGTTTATTGCAGGACAAAAAAAAAAAAAAAGAGAGAGAGAGAGTTTACAAACAGGGAAACTTACTAAACAGCACTCCCTACACCACCACCACTTGGCTGTCAGTGGAGATTTCTGCTGAACAAGTTTCAGTGGGGCTTCCAGAGTAGGAAGAAAGGTCTGGCAAGCTACATGGGAAAATCAGCCAATCAGAACCCTAGGAATGCTCAAAGTCCAGTCTACAGCTGGTCATGGAAGTGGTGCAGGACAAGTCAGTCTCCTGTTCTGTTGTGCACTGAGTTACTGTCAATACGGGGCTGACTCCATGACAGCTTCTAATAGTACCAGGAAGCACACCGATAGAAGTAACCCAAGAGGATCGGCAGGTCCTGGTATTGGGAGAGATCGGGCTCTGGAGAAGGACATCGTGTGTGGCAAAGTGGAGGGTCAGAGGAAAAGAGGAAAACCCCCAATGGGAGGTACTGACACAGTGGCAGCAGCAATGGGCTGACACAGAACAATGACATAGAGGAAGGCGCAGGCCCGGCGGGGTTTGGTTCTGTTGGACATGGGTCACTGTGAATTGGAACTAACTCAGTGGCACCTAACAGCAATTAGGTCTCTGAAGTTATAAAGGAAAAAATCTCCCTAGCAAATGAGCATCAGACGTCCCCCCCGTTCTGGTTTCTTGGAGTTTGGTCAAACTGGATCATTTTTATAACAGTTTTATTATGCTGATGATTACAAAAAAGTTGTGATGCTCAGTGAAGGTCAATTGGAAAAACAAACAAACAAGCAATTCTGTCACCTTTGAACATTTCAAATATTTAACAAAGTTTTTTATCTGTGAAACAAGTGGGTGGAATGTTCATGGTTTCACTCTGGGTCTCCATTTTGGAGAAACTTCAAAAGCTAGGAGTCGGGAGACTGCAGGAAGACAAGAGCTGAAATCTGGATGGCTACAGGAGTGTGAACAGGGCCATGTGTGTGGGGTGGGGGCGGGGTGCTAACAAGATGCCCAGGCATCTCCAGTGAAGAATCAGGGAAGAAAATTAAGCACAGGTTGTTATTGCTCAAACCGGGGTGGGGGTGGGGGACGGTGGGCATCCCCACACCTTGTAGGACCCCAGCTTTAGCGAATGTCACTTTAGACAAGTGGAGAAACCTGGGGCTACAAGTCACTGCTGCTTCTTGGTAACACCTCTACTACAGCTGTACAATTTATGGGAGCAGATCCCCTAAGCCTTTCTTCTGCACTGTCACTGTGTGGGACTCGCTTAATGATGCATGCAGGACTCACAGTAACCCGCCTTTACATCGTTTCTGAGGCTGTAAATCTCTGTAGGAGAAGAGAGCCTCATCTTTCTCCCGTGATGGAGTAGCTGGTGGACTCGAACCACCGATCCTGAGGCTCACAACCCAATAGCTTAGTGAAGGAGAAACAGGAAATAAATTTTGAGTGGCAGTTCTATTCAGAATAGAGGTACCAATTCTGGCATTGCCAATTTAACTCTTGACATTTAATTTTCACAGGTCTTGACTCCCCCAGATTAACGACATACTCAGTGGCTCATGCATTATTACTCATTCCTCTTGTGCCAGGCATAGTGTCCTGCCAATGGTCACCGCCCTGACCCCAATCTCTCTATGAATACAAACTCACACACCCATGAACATACACTGATTGAGGGAAAACACATACCTCTATTTCCATGTGAATACAGCTTGCTAAGCCATCCCTGGCAATGCCTTCCACGGTGTCTCGGTTCAGCCCATAATTGTGATCCCCGTAACGGAACGTCAGAATGAATTTCCCCTGGAATTGGAAACACACCAAGATTCTCATATCACAGTTGCTGTGATGGGGTGACGAGAAGTCAAACCACTCGGTGTCTTGTTTTCATAGGAATCCCTAAAAGTTACAAATCTTAGCAGATGTATCCGAATGGCAATGGACTTAGAAAACCTAACACCAAATTGTGGTGGAGATGTGTATTCGAAATTCTTAGCTGACCAAAAAAAGAAAAAAAAAAAAAAAAAATGGGGGGATGATGTTGGAACTAATCTTCTGATAAAAGTAAGAGAAGAGTTAAGATAGTGATATTTATGAGTCTCTACTATAAAAAACCAGTTTGCTTATTAACACCACCACTCCCTCAAAAAAAAAAAACAAACGGAGCCACACACCTTCACTACTGGAAGAGAAAAAGGAATAATAGCTCGCCTTTTGCCTTAGCCATTTCAGCTGTGCCAGAATACCGGGGAGCCCAGGGAAGGCTTCCAGTCCTCCAAAGCCTTGCATTCCGAGGTAAGCCATGAACATTGGGTCATTCTTGTCAGCCACGAATTACAGGACACCCTAAAAGCTTTGTATCCTGAGATAAGCCCTGAAAAATAGACCCATCTCGTGGTTCCTCAGAGAGACAGCTTGTTATTAAAACTGCCCCACACACTATTCCCTAGACGTGCTCTCTACCCACTGGACATCAATGCTGAACCATCAATATTGACACCATGCTGTGTTCTGGAAGTCCAGTTCTTCAAAAAGTGGTCCCCAAAAAAGGCATCTCTAGAAATCGTAAGTAAACCTTTGACAACATTGCTTTCTTGAGCCACTAGATCCAGTCTCATCTGATGACAAGAGATAGAGATACACAGACGACTTTGGTAGTCTGACTCCTCGTGATTTAAAATCAATGGCAAGGTGAGTGTCCCCGGGGCTTTTACACCATCATCATGGTGAAGAACAGTGGTTCCAGCTGCCCTGAATCCCTTGGGCCTCAGAACTGACCTCAGATGTTCTGGAGACCATCAGGATGGGAAGGGTTGTAGCCTGGCCAGGAATTGGTGTGTGGAATGGTCAGGAGACAGATATCATTTGGGCTGAGGCATCTGAGGAGGATGATTGTGGGTGATGAAGGAAACCCATGCTCCCCAAGATCAAAGGTACTTTAGGTATGGCATGAATTCTAAAACATACACACCTCAACTATTAACAACCTGTACACTACGCCCCTTCAGGCCATACCCTCTTTATTGTTTGGAGCAAATACTGTGGTCGTATACGAGGGTCATTCAAAAAGCACTGCTATAAAATCATTGAAACCTTTATTAAACAAAACTATCAAAATGTGAAGCTATTGGTTCTGGTAAGCAGTTCAAAACTACCAGCAGTTTCTGTGGGAGAAAGATGAGGCTTTCTGCTCCCATAATGATTTACAGCCTCGGAAACCCAGTACAGGGTCGCTGTGAGTTGGGGCCTACTCCACAGCACATAACCACCACCACCATCACCACCACCAGTCATGCCTGCATGAACTGGTACTCTAGTAGTAAGACTTTTTGATTCACCATCTTCTATAAATATACACATATATTCAGGAGAAAGACAAGGCTTTCTGCTTTCATAAAGGTTTATATCTTCGGAAACTTTACACAGGGGTGCTATGGATTAAACTGACTCGACAGCACTTAACAACAACACATACATACATACCTATATAAGGAGCTCTGGTGGCACTATAGAATAAGCACTGGACTGCTAACCACAAGGTTGGCAATTCAAACCCCCAGCCTCTACAGGAGAATGACATGGCTTTCTACTCTCAGAAAGATTGATAGTCTCAGAAACCCTACACAGAACTTCTATGAGTCAGAACCAACTCAACAGTGTGTAACAATGACACGTGTGTATGTGTGTGTGTATATTTATCACTCATATACACAGATAGACATCTGTATTTTCTTTTGGATAGGTAAACGTTGTCAAGTCACTGCCAACTGATGGTCACCCCACATGCGCAGGGTAGACCTACTCCACAGGGTTGTGACATTCAGGGAGCAGATTGCCAGCTTAGTCTTGTGAGGTAACCTGTGGGTGGATCTGAATCACCAACTTTCAGCTGGGAGTTGAATGTTTCACAGTTTGTACCACCGAGGGGCTCTAGATAGATAGGTAGCCAGCTAGCTTCCTGAATCTTCTGTTTACTGTGACTCACCCTGTTTTTAAAAGGTCTACCTAAATCACTTCTCAAAAATATGAGTTTACAAAAGAGGGAACAAGTCCTTACAGCAAGAATCATTCCCACCCCCTCCACACACAGAGTAGACAGGGATGGGCAACTTGGACATTGGCTACCCAAAATGGGGGGTGGGGAGCTACAAAGGCAAGAAGTGACTGGCTTACAAGCTTTCAAGAGGGAACCTAGATCCAGAGGGCCTGGAGGAAGGTAGAATCTCCAGTGAGAAGGATTCAATCTGACTAGCCGGGGCTGATGCAATGAAATACAGACGGGTCTCTTGTGATACAATTGTGAATAATTGTTATCAGGACTGATTGTGAGGGTTGGAAATGTAAAGGTAGACGTCTTATAGCAAGGAGGGGAGTGATTAACTTTTCAGTCTAGGAGTGGAGGTCCCTAGGATCATCAAGGGAGAAGAGCAGAGAGTGGGACCCTACCCAGAGAAGCAGTGATGCCTGAAATGGAGCCAGAGATGATGACGTGGAGCAATGGAGCAGCTGGAGACTTTAGATCCAGAGAGGGAGAGCGACTGTGTGCTGAAGACCTGGGGGGCACGGGGGAAGGATTGCATGGAGGGGATTGTAACCATGGCAATGAGACCATATACGATAGAATGAATGTAAAACCAATGTTCTCCCATGTAAACTATCACATAATTCACAATAAAACATTTAATATATATATATGAGTTTATTTACTTGTGTGTACAAATGTCTCTATCTGCAGATCCCAAAAATCTTATCTGGAAGGGTCTGAGGCTGGGAAGACTCTTGGGCTGTACTTATGTATAGAGAAAAGAACCCCTTAGACAAATGTGTTCAGAGTTAAGATGAAGCGGTACCCCAGCTTTGGGCTTGTGGTGCCCCCTCATTTCTTCTTGCACACGGATTTCTTAATAAATAGCAAAAACCTTATTTCACAAGTCCAGGGGTATGGTCTGATTTCCACAAGACTGGGGAAGACTATTGCAGGTGAAAGGTATTGATGAAGAAAGTGAGCACAGATAGGCACGCATGTCAGTCTGTGTGTCTGTCAGAGTGGGCAGGTGGGATGTCTGTCCAGGAGGTCCCAGAGTGAGGGATGATTTCTGGAGTGTACTGTTTAGTGACAGCTGCTTGTGTGGGTGTGATGGGCAAATCTGACAATGAGTTCATAGTATGAAATTTCATCTCTCTTCAAGGGAAGGAGATTGGAGGGAAAATACAAGTTGAAGAAAATCCCATTATATTGAAGCATTATTTTATATGTTAGCAGTGAGTGCTTCTGAAGCACAAGAGGATTCTGTGGAGGTGTCTATAATAAAACTAAATGCAGTCTAGAAGTACAGTGATTTCTTTGGCTAGGAATTGAACCCAATTTATTTGAGTGCAGATGTGCCAAGGTCTGGGACATCAGGGAAGCGGATGTCAGATATACTGAGAACAGATAGAAATCTACTTGGAAGGAGAAACGAGGGGGGCACCACCAGCCCAAAGCTGGGGTACCGCTTCATCTTAACTCTGAACACATTCGTCTAAGGGGTTCTTTTCTCTATACATAAGTACATCCCAAGATTCTTCCCAGCCTCAGACCCTTCCAGATAAGATTTTTGGGATCTGCAGATAGAGACATTTGTACACACAAGTAAATAAACTTGTATTTTTGAGAAGTGATTTAGGTAGACCTTTTAAAACCAGGGTGAGTCACAGTAAACAGAAGATTCAGGAAGCTAGCTAGCTACCTATCTATCTAGAGCCCCTTGGTGGCACAAACTGTGAAACATGTAACTCTCAGCTGACCCGAGAAAAATATACTATAGACTCTAAGCAGAGAAACGAATACGAGTTTGGGGAACTAGTTGTCTCTCAAGCTAAGGAGTACTGGGAGATTGCTTTTTACAAATACCAACAAAATGACTCAAATGTCCATTAAAGCTTTTAGAAATAGAGCCAAAATAGAGCTCTGAGCCACTGGTGAGTCCCGCCGAGTGGGTTCTGATTCCTGGCGACCCTGTGTAGGGTTTCCGAAGCTATAAATCTTGATGATAGCAGAAAGCCTCCTCTTTCTCCTGAGGAGTGCCTGGAGGATTTAAACTGCTGACCTTGTAGTTAGAAATCCAACGTGTAACCCTCATGCTACCAGGGCAAATTCTTTATAATTCTGTCTCCAAAACAGCGTTCTAGGTGCCCTGGTAGCGTAGTGAATTACAAGCTAGGCTGCTAACCACAGTCAGCAGTTTGAATCTACCAGTCACTCCCCAGGAAAAAGATGAGGTTTCCTGCTCCCATAAAGATTTACAGCCTTGGAAACCCTGTATAGGGTCGCTATGAGTCAGAACGGACTCAACGGCACACAACCACCAATGAATAAGAGTTCTCAGAGAAAGAACTATAGAGAATTTTCCAGATGTTCATTGTTACAAGGTTGAGGGTTGGGGAACTGCCTGGAGACTCTTGAGCCATCTTGTTTGTCCTGAGAACAAGCACCACGTGTGGACTCAGAGTCGGTCATTCATCATTAAACTTGTGAAAGCTGAGAGCCGAGTGAGCACTAAGCCACGTGCACTATTGCAGGGGCGCAGGGAGAGCAGCAGGTGAAGGGAGGAAAGGGTAGATGTGGCTAGTTCAGCATCACTGCTCAGATGGTGAGCTTTCAAGAGCAGAACCATCCAAGAGAGCTTCAAAAAGTTCATGGGAAAATTCCATTATCTAGTCATTCCATTTTTCCATGAACTTTTGGAATAGCCTTCATAGATAAATCCTTAATAAGGTTCAGCCATAGGCTTCAGAGGGTGGGGGATGGGGGAAAACTGGCCTAGAACTCATTTGTTAGTATTTCAAAAGGATGATAATGAATAGAAATAAGGCTTCTGGCAAAAAGAACATAAAAGGCTAATAGACCCAGGGATTATGATGATGAGCTGAGGCATTCTTTCAGCCAAATGGAAGGCCCCTGTGTTGATTCACTGACATTAACATCCACTCTAGATACAAACGGGGCTAGGGCTCTGAGGATAAACTTAGCTTGCGAAGGCCAAGAGGGAGCAAATTGTTTTTAAGAAAATGAACTCAGAGCCAAAGGTGCTATAAATTATGAACAGTGACTTGATTGTGAAAGTCTCAGTTAAAAAATATAAACATATATATCAAACAGACTTAAATTGAGCAAGATTGTTCTGAGTTTCCATGAAATGGACAAACGCAGGATAGATACTCTACACACTCTTAATCCTCAGTGTATCAGACTGGGGTGGTTTGTGTGTTGCTGTGATGCTAGGAGCTACGCTACCAGCATTTCAAATACCAGCAGCGTCAGCTACAGTGGATAGGTTTCAACGGAGCTTCCAGGCTAAAACAAACTAGGAATAAAAGCATGATGATCTACTCTGAAAGTCTGTCAATGGAAACCTTACGGATAAGAGACAAGGAGAAAACCCTCACTGACATGGATTAACACAGTAGCCTGTGTTTATTAACACAAGCTTGCCAATGGTCACTGAGCTGGTGTAGCACAGGGCAATGTTTCCTTCTGTTGAACACAAGTCATCGTGAGTCAGAGCCGATGTAACAGCAGCTAACGACAGTCAAAGAAATTCAGAGTCATCTCCCATCTAACAGGAAGGGTTCCCATCTACTTTAGCGAACAGCCTGGTCACCAAGACCTAGCACCTCTGAAACAGAACAGGAACGTGGATAACTCACGGCTGTCTATGTGTCTGGGACCAGCATATGGAAAGGCAAGCTCCATGTCTTTATCTGTCCTTAAGTTCACCAGTTAGAAAATGGCACAGAGAACAAGCAGAAGGATTATACTGTGGACTAGCATCTCAACGGTTAGGACTGCTCAACTCGGGGCTGCGTGTCTTGAGTAAAGCTGGATGAATAACCTCAGAGCTTGATCAGCACAAGAATTCTTATTAGCGCTTTTACTTCTGGTTTTGTAAAACATCCACTCATTCAGTCTTATTGGAAATTTACAGTTGTGTCTCCCAGACCAAACATCCAGAAGCATGTGAACAATGACGAACAAAGCGAAGAACACAAGCCAGGAAGCACAACTCAACGACATTCCATTTTGTGTTGTTTTAGCCTGTTTTCTATTGCTTTTGCCAAAGAACATGAACTTCTCATGCACTGAAAACAAAAGAGATTGTCCTTACCATGTGTAGCATTTCATCATAAACTTCCTGAGAGATAAAATGATAATCAACTCGGTCCCCTTCTCCAAAGTACGGTGGTCTTGTCGTGTGGCAGGCCCTGGAAACAGAACATACGGCCAAATCTGTTTCTACTAGGTTGGAATTCTAAACGGAAGATTTCAGTTCAAAATACATATTTTTATATACATTAAATTGATATGTTTTATAGGGATCAGAAAAGTCTTGGATTCCCAACAACTCATTATTATCTACCACACTTGTGAACCATCTCTTCTGCCATAAGATAATATTACTTTAAAACTATATATCAACTGTTATTGTTCATACACAAAGGGGCTTCAAAAACTAAATACAGGGTTCCAATTAGCCTAGGACTCCTAATCTCCTAGATGTTATTATGTTTTTTCCTTATTATATCCTGGAATTTGGTTTAAGGTTTAGATTATTGAGTAGTTTTAAAACAAGAAGAGAATAAGAGAATAGTTGGACACCTGACATGTGATTTCATGGATTCCTCACAAAAAATTGGAGGCCCTGGTGTGGCACTGTAGGATAAGCACTAGACTGCAAGGTTGGTTTGAACCTCAAGGTTGGTGGTTCAAACTCACCAGCCCCTCTTCGGAAACCCAAGGCGGGGTTCACCATGAGTCAGAACCGACTCACCTGCAGTTGGTTTGGTGTTTGTTTCTGGTGACGCAGTGGCTGAGTGCTCTGCTGCTGACCGAAAGTTTGGTGGTTTAAACCTACCTGAAGCTCCACAGAAAAAGAGGTGATGATCTGGTCTTGTAAAGATTGTTGTTGTCGGGTGTTGTGTAGTTGATTTTTGCCCATAGCAACCCCATGTGACAGTAAAACTGCCCCATAGGGTTTTCGTGGCTGTAATCTTTATGGAGGAGTCCTGGTGTGGCGCTGTAGGTTAATGCACCACACTGCAAAGCCATTTGAACTGCAAGGTCGGCGGTTTAAGCTCACCAGCTGCTCCTTGGAAACCCTATACAGAGTCACTATGGGTCGGAATTGACTCGATAGCACTTCACAACAACAATAGTCTTTATGGAAGGAGAACACCAGGTCTTCCTCCCATGGGGCAAGTGCTTAATCACTGTGTCACTAGAGTTCCTTTTGTAAAGACTGGTGTTGTTAAGCGCTGTCGACTCATAGCAACCCTGTATGAGGTTTCCGAGAAGCAGCTGGTGAGTTTCAACCACTGACCTTGCTGCTCAAAATGGCCTTGTGGCTGAGTGCTTAGTCTATAGCGCCAAAACCCTGAAGGCGGGTTCTGCTCTGTCAGATGGGGTTGCTATGAGTCGAAATCAACTTGATGGCACCAATGACAACTACAAAACATTACATTTCAAATGTGTACTCGGGAAAGAGCAGACTCGAGTAGCCTGTCAGAACCTGGCAACGTTTCTTTGTGGTTGGGGTGCACTGACTTTTTCAGAAATCTGGCAGAGACTTTGAAGTCAGAGGAGATAAATTGTGGTTTGGGGTCCTGAGCTGGGAGGCCTCAGCACAACCTTTCCCGTATACTGTGCTGAATCTACATTTCCCAAAGGGGTTGAGCAGCAGGGATTTTTTATTTATTTTTTTTAGCATTACTAAAAGGAAGACAAGTCCAAGAAGCAATCTGAAGTTTATAAGCAGGTAAACCAAGAGATTCTGTACAGATGTGGGGAATGCTGAGAGCGAGGTCCGCTTCCACTGTTGTTGTTAGGTGTCATTGAGTCGGCACTGACTCATAGCAACTCTATGCATAATGGAACGAAACATTGCCCAATCCTGGGCCCACCTCACTACTGTTGCCACACTTGAGTCCATTGACGCTGCCATTTTGCCAGTCCACCTCGCTGGAGTCCTCTTTTTTCTCTGACCCTCCACCATACCAAACATGATATCCTTCTCCAGTGACTGGTCTCTCTGACAGTATGTCCAAAGTATGAGAGACGAAGTTTGGCCATCCTGGCCTCCAAGGAGCATTCTGGCTGCACTTCTTCCAACATAGATCTTGCTGGTTCTTTTGGCAGCCCATTGCACTTTTAGTATTCTCCTCTGTGGAACCATCTAATTAATAAGAAGGACTCGAGGTGACTGCAGGTTTTTGAATCGGCCATCCAGTTTTCACATCTACAGCGGATCTCTGTGACGTATGCTGTCCAAACTGGAACATGTTAGAAAGGGAATACTTCATAGTGAAAGCAACATTTCACTAAATGTCCTTAGAAAAGGGTGATGCCAAATTTTAGACCGAGAAAGGGGCTTGAGCCTTCATTCTCAGAAGCCTTCTTTCCCTTCCCTCAGTACAGCAGTGTTTGCAATTTACCAACAAACCCAGTCAGGGGAGAGGGAATCAGGAGGAAAAGGAATCCAGAAAGCGGAGCCAAGTAATGGGATATTCCAAAAACCCAGGCAAATGGAGCAGGAAGAAAAGATGTCTAGGAAGAGGGAGCAGATGGAGGCAGAAGGGAACGTCTCCGTGTGGCTCAGAGCAGGCAAATTTGGAATCCCAACTCAGGACCAGATTGTCTCCGGAAATCAGGAACTTCTTGTTACTGCAAATATTTAAGCAGGGGCTTGGCTGCCAGCTCACTTCACTCCAAGTACAGTCCCACATGCAGGCATGGTCATGAATGAACTTCTACCATGTTCTCACTGGCCTCCTTGTCGCCAACCCTTATACCCCCAAACTCTTTCCCAAAGTGCAGTCAGGATGAGCTTTCCAACATGCACCTCAGAGTATGCCATTCCTCTGCTTAGAAACCCTTAGGACCAGACCCGGCTATCTTTCCCCCTTCTGTGGGGTGTATTTCCAATTCACCACAAGTGCCTGTCCTGTTCTCTGCTGGGACGCACCACCTCCAGCTGCACCCGTTCCATCGTCTCTTAACTTCCAGCTTCACACAAGACCCTCTCCTCCTTCGTGAGTAGGAGCTCACCAAACTCTCTCGTTAAGTAGCTGTCTACCTCCCCTATAGACAGCGGGCTTCTAAGAGGACAAGACCCAGACAGGTATACCTCGTTTCAGTGCTCTGTGTTTTATGAGACTTCACAGATGATGCTGTTTTGTTTTTAAACAAATTGGAGGTTGTGGCAACCCCACATGAAGCAAGTCTATCAGCGCCATTTTTCCAATAGCATGTGCTTACTTAGTGTCTCTGTGTCACATTTTGGTCATTCTCAGAATATTTCAAACTTCTTCATAATGCTACGTTGCATACTTCATAGACCACAATATAGTGGCAATGTAACTTTTACATGCAACGGCATACCGGAAATGCAGGTGGCTTGCTTGATTTTGACAGTCACTTTACTGCGGTGTGTGTAATCTCACCTGCAGTATCTCCAAGGTCTGCCTGTCTGTCTGCTTCAGTCGCATCACGTGATACCTGGGTGACCAGGCTGAATGAAGAGGTGAATCACCCTATTCGTTTGTTACATCTGCAGAAACTGACACATTAAATCAGTCTGCATTTGAGTATCCATAGCTCATAACTTCCCATTTAGCTAAATATTGTTGTTGTAGTTGTTTACTGCTGTCCAGTTGGTTCTGATTCACAGTGATCCTATTTAGAGTTTCCAAGGAGTAGCTAGGGGCTTTGAACTGCTCCTTGTGGTCAGCAGTCCAGTGCTTATCCTACAGCACCACACCAGGACTCTTCATTTTGCTAACTAGCTGTGGATTTTTTGCTTGACTATGTTATACTGCTAAGGAGCTCTGGTAGCGCAGTGGTTATGAGTTGGGCTGCTAACCTCAAAGTCAGCAGTTTGAAACTACCAGCTGTTCCCTGGGAGAAAGATGAGGCTTTCTGTTCCCATAAAGATTTACATCCTCGGAATCCCTATACAGGGTCACTCACTGTAAGTCGGAACCGACTCCACAGCACATAACCACCACCACCACTGCTAACAATGAAAAATGAATGAAACTTTAAAAATACAGACACACATATTTTTATAGTCCCCATTATGAGAAGGCTATGAGAATGAGAGATTGCTGGGTAGTGCAAACAGTTCACACAGCTGGCTGTGAAATAACAGGTTGGAGGTTCCAGGTCAACCAGAAGCTCCTCAGAAGAAAGGTGTGGTGATCTGTTTATGAAAAGCCAGCTCTGGGAAATCCTACAGCGCATAGTTCTGCTCTGACATCCATGGTTCGCCACACATCAAAATCAACTCCAGGTGATAATGGATCAAAATCTTGATGGTGAATTCATAAACACCTCCAAGAACTCATATGACCAAGCAACATATGACATAAGAAAGCTTGGTCTACCAACCGTTCCCAACACAGGCGACATGTATGCATGTAACAGTGATTACAAGTAGAGAAGACCTACGTGGACTCACGTCACTTTGGTTTGCAGAATGGTTCCAGATTGATTCATTAGCAGAAGAGTCAGGATACTTCTGGGAAGCACCAGGTCTTTTTGGCCTCCTCTGACCTTGAACTCATTGTGTTAAATTTATCTTCTGAAAGATGCTCATATGAGCATAATGGCCCTCTATTATTTTTTATTCTAACAGCAAGTTTTAATGCATTTATATTTCTATTTAAAATATTTTAATCAATAAGTAATTATAGTGCATTTGCATCCTGTTGTTGTTGTTAAGTACTGTGTAGTTGGTTGGTTCCGACTCATAGCGACCCTGCACAGGGTTTCTGAGGCTGTAAATCTTTATGGGAGCAGAAAGCCTCATCTTTCTCCCGCAGAACAACTGGTAGTTTCAAACTTCCAACCTTGGGGTTGGCAGCCCGATTCTTACCCACTACGCTACCAGAGTTTTCCAAATGCGGAATGTAATTTTAGATCTCTAAACAACTGATCCACTCAAAATCGTATTTACATGATCTGAACATGTATAGCTTAAGGGAAGGAACTTTTCTCGAAACCACGGTGGGAAATAATTTGCATTTCATTTTCTCATTGTGCTATGTATCTCTGCAGTCATGTCCCTCGTTCGCCAACACACGCGCTGACCTAAAAGCAATTGTTTGTTCTATATAACGAATGAAAGAGGAAACCAGCCTGGGACAGCATGTGACAATTCTAGGTCTGATTCCCAGAACCTGAAACAAGCCAGAGACAGAGCCAGCTAGAAGCTATTTAGGATGATTGTTTTTTTCTGTTTACTTTCCCCTACTTTAACGAGGTTGTTAGGAAATCAGGTCCCGTGTGGTTCCAGCTGCGCTCAGCTGCTAACCTAAAGATTGGTGGTTCAAAGTCACCCAGAGGCATTGCAAAAGGAAGGCTTGGCGATCTGCTTCTGCACAGATTATTGTTTTTACTGTAGTTGGGTGCCCTGTAGCTAATTCTCACCCATAGTGACCCATGTGACAGAGGAGAACTTCCTATAGGGTTTTCTTCGCTGTCATCTTTAGGGACATAGATTGCGCGAGGTCTCTCTCCCATGCAGTCACTGGGTGGGCTGGAACAATCGACCTTTCGGTTAGCAGCCAAGCACTTAGCCCTTGTGCCACCCTGGTTCCTTCCATAAAGGTGACAGAAGACCCTATGGAGAAGTTCTACTCCATAACACACGGGATCACCATGAGTCAGGGTCAACAGCAATGAGTCTGGGTTTAATTAGGGACCCACATGGCACAGTTTCTGTTCGAAACCCAGACGTGCACTGGAAGTTCACCTGAGGGAAAACAAGAAAGTCCTCTTGCTGCCCTTCTGTGCCCTTTCTTCCTGAAATCTGCCTCTAACAGCAAAGACCCAGCAGGAGACCTGGGCCCTGACATGTTGTCAGCTAGTGTCCCAGCCTGGGACCGGGCAGGGCTGTCGGTGGCCATATCACACCACATGGTATCACCATTATGTGGACCTCAAAAGCTGACTAATTTCAAACCCCCTGAGAGTGAATTGGGCTGGCGTTAAGTAAAGCTACACATTTGGAGGATTCGAGTCAACGCCGATCCAAAAACCAAACCCACTGCCACCAAGTGGATTCTGATCCATAGCAGCCTGTACAGCGTCTCCCAGACTGTCGATCTTTATAGAAGCACACAGCCTCATGTTCCTCCTATGGAGCAGCTGGTGGGTTTGAACCACCAACTTTTCAGTTAGCAGTCCAGCACATAACCCACAGCACCACTATTTCTTCTTAAGTACCATCAAGTTGGTTCCTGTATAGGGTTTCTGAGGACCTTCTGTCCTTGTGCTTCAAACCGACCCTGCGGTCAAGTGCATTACCCTGCAGCACCACACCAGGGCTCCACAACACCACTGTTGTTGTTAAGTGCCGTTGAGTCAATTCTGACCCAAACCAGCCCTGTGTAGGGTTTCCAAGGAGCAGCTGATGAGCTTGAACAGCCAATCTTGCAGTTCAAATGGCTTTGCAGTCTGGCACATTATCCCACAGCACCACACCAGGACTCCACCAGTGTTGTTAGGTGCCACTGCATCGGTACCGACCCATAGCGACCTTATGCACAGCTGAACAAAACACTGCCCAATCCTGGGCCAACCTCACTATTGTTGCCACACACGAGTCCATCAATGCTGCCACTCAGCCAATCCATCTTATTGGGGGTCTTCCTCTTTTTCTCTGACCCTCCACCTTACCAAACTTGACATCCTTCTCCAGCGACTGGTCCCTCCTGACAATATGTCCGAAGTACGAGAGACGAAGTTTGGCCATCTTGGCCTCCAAGGAGCACTCTGGCTGCACTTTTTCCAAAACGGATCCATTGGTTCTTTTGGCAGCCCATGGCACTTTCAATATTCGCCTCCAACACCATAACTCAAAGGCATCAATTCTTCTAC